TAAAAAAAAAAAAAAAAAAAACATTTCTGTTGATTCGTGTTGTAAAATTTGCTTATTCATCAATATTTATTATTGCTTTATCACTTATTATATACAACAATGTCGGGTGATTATTTTATGTATCGATAAGCAGTATTTTTAACTCTTAGAAGTTCAGACACCACGTTTTGTATAATACAGTCGACCCCCCCCTATAACACCGTTTTATATGAATTCCATGTTGTACGAGTCACTTAGATTTTACAAATACGCGTGCCGGGCTGTAAACGGCTCACATATTTATAAAATCTAAGCGATTCGTACAACACGGAATTCATATAAAACGGAATAATCAACAGTGTTATAGGGGGTCGACTGTATATATACTATTTTTCTAAAATAGAATTAAAATGTTAATACCGAATTAAACTCAGTAAAATATAAATAATATGCGGGTTTTATAGATGATATATATATATATATGTATGTTATTCATTCCCACATTTTGAAATATTCACTTTTTTTACGGGTTGAATATAAAATATAATGTCACTGGCGTGACTACAAAATAAAGCTTTTTTTGGTCGTATCCGAGGCTCCGAGCTAAAGTACAATGTGTAATAAGTTCAAAGAAATTTTTTTTTTTTTTTTTTGTAGTTTTTATTTAATTAAGTATGAAAAGTTTAGCAATAAAAGTTGTTGTCATGAATGTTTTCCTGTCTCACTTCTGAGTAGCGCAGAGAAATGGTAAACGGTAGCGGAGGTTCAATAATCTCGTCAATTAATTTCGCCATTGGAGAAATCATAAATGAGATAAAAGCTTTTTTCTTTTCTGAAGAGGAAGCTGAAAGTTTATTTTCATCACTTTAATAAATATTCGAGCGCGGATGTCAACACCATCCCCATCTCGCGAAATATCGAAGCGCTTCTAATGGAGTCGGCGCCAAGGAACAAGCAACGGGGCAGACATCCTATCGGAAAACAGCACAGACAACCAGACTAGATAGTGGATGATGTATGACAGGAATTGTCATGTGGTTTGGCCGACATGTCACCATTCTACATCACTTAGGTCATCGCTCTGTGGACTACACCCACACCCGCTCGTGGCGGTCAGGTCAACACTGCTCTCTCTTTCTCTCTCTTACAACCGCTTTTTTTTTTTTTTGGTATCATTCTTCTCGATCATTATCCGATCTGGGAAATAAATCACGCCATAATGATAATTTAATAGTTACTTCTTTCTGTTTACTATAAAACAGGTAAAATTTCTTATAATCGTTAAACGAATGTTACGTCGAAAATTAACATACTTTTTTTAAATTTGTAAATATTAATACTCTATAATTTATTTATAGTAATATTTTATATGTTAAATATCTAAATAATTACGATTTTAATTAATAACGTAATTATTAGTTAAAATTTTTATTTTAATTTCGATAATTTGATTAAAATTTGGCAGGTGGCGTTGATAATTTATTTACGTTTTTATACTACACGTGGTTGTCATGTGGTCGGCGTTGAAATATTCGAATATTTATTTAAAAAATGTTGCAAGTTTGAAAAATTTATTCTGTAAAGATTATGAAAGATGGAAACAAGGTTTGATTTTTATATATTTATTTGATAAATGTTTGAAATTTCACATTTTAAGACCACAAATTCAAATTTTTACAATAAATCAGCACATAATCTGTTTACACAATTCTTTTCTTTAAATGAATTATACACTATTAAACAAAAATAACATGCCGTTTTTATTTAAAATAGAGTTATTATTTAGCTTTATAAATATTTCGATATGATAAAAATATTTAAAAGTTTATTTGTTATATTTTTTAAAAATTTGCGTAAATTTTAAAACAATTTACAATTATGTACAAAATAAATAAAAATTTTGAACGACACTTAGTCTTTATTTAACTGTACATCGTTTTCTCCACCCACTGAAAAAATAATTTTATTTATAATTTTTTACATTATTAAGCTCTTTATATTAATTAAAAGAAAAAAAGAGTTTACCTCATCTAATGTAAATGTTGCTCTTCCCATTTTTAATGGATCTCTTTCCTTGAAAATTTCTATTAAAATAATAATTTTATTTAATGTTTAGTTTTTTATTTTATCAAAGCTTATCTTAATATTAATAACTAGTGGATTTTAATACAGTCAAATCTCCAATAGCAGCTGCTCTTTCACGAACCTTTTTTCTTTTGAAGAAACATGCATACAAAATAACTTCCAAATAATGGTCACATCCAAACAACAGCCATTACTTAAGTTCTCATCAGAGGTTTGATCTTATATATTTTTACTTTAATAATAATTCTATTAGGAAAATATGATAAGACAAAATTGTTTTATCTGCTAGACTTATATAATTTAAATATTGTACTTCAATAAAAACTATTACATTATTATTGTCATTAAAATGTAATTAATTAATAACTATGTTCATCCATATATCATTTGACATTAAAATAACATATGAAAGTGTATACAATTTTCAATTTTACTTTTAAAACTGTCCTCAAGATTTAATCATTTTGATGCTTTTTCAAATTATTTGCATCAATATCTACTATAAAAATAGATATAATAATGAAGGAATAGTTCTCCAGAAAAAACTCAAACACTAAAATAAAGGAGGATTGTTGTTATAATGAATCTTAAGCCTTAGCACCTGTCAGTCTCATCCTATCTTCCCAATGACTTTCCTTTCTCTCTTTATTCATAGAACATAATTTAAGATTTTTATAGAGTATCTTACATCATCCATTATATGCCATAGATATCAGATCCATCAATTTCTGCTTCAATTTTAATGGCAAATTAATTTTAAAGAACAAAATATTAAAAAGTCTCTTTAAAATTTATTTACCATTAAGTGCTTTAACTTATCATTCTTACAGTGTAGTATAATACAG